CTCCCCGCCCATTTCCGTGAGGTCCTACCTCTCCACGAAGGAGCTATGTCACCTCCGAGGTCAAACAGAGGACCGTTTTTTGGGGATTGAGGAAAAAACTCCGAATCCTGAAACTCCCACGTCCAAAACTCGGGGGAAAAACCTCAGGAACGAAAAGAAGTTGGGCTGGGCGACAAGAAAGATGCAAAAGATAAGTTGAACGCAAAAGTCTCTCGTTTCCAATATAGACTTTAATCAAAAAGGTGCTCAAAAGAGCCGATATTACTTCAAGTGAAGCTAACCCAGGAACAGAAGGAAAGGCAGCGACTTTGCCCAGACCCAACGGACTTCCTCTATGACTTCCCCAGCGACACATAGGATCGTCTCCACTAACACAAGTACTCAACGGTCAGCGACGTCTTCCAGCGTTTTCAGGAAAGCGAAAAAATATATTACCATCGCGAAACATAGACACCTGGTTAGATTGACTGCACGCAAGACTATGGTCGTAGCGTACCCTAAGGGTGCTCAAGGTCCCCATCGGGAGGCCTGAAGAGACCATATTGCTACCACAACCTGGGCCCGACCTACTGAGCAAGCTCAGCAGACAAGGCGGAAGGGCCAGGGCCCCGTCGCTATGGTCTACGTGTTTCTCTAACAGAATGAACTACCTCTTATGACTACTCGAAGAAATATGCTAACCCAACCAAAGGAGTAGGAAAATTAAGACAAGCACAATGGAAAGTGAACGAGAACAGAACATAAAGAAGAGGGCAGAAAGAAAGAAATAAGGAAAGTAAATAATAAGTTAAGAAATAAAAAATAAAATATAAATGATAGTAACAAAATACGGAATACGAGTATAGGAATAAGCAAGAAATGGATATAGAAAAAAAAAAGTTGAAAGTGGGTAAGATGGGATCGTCGAAGAGAATTGAATAGTCGACTAGCCCATGGAGAAATGAGCGCCCTAAGCCTAAGCATTCCCAAAAGTGCCCCACCCTCCCTCCTTCCTTCGCGAGTTTTGCGCTAAAAGTTTGGGCTCCGAAAAATTTTATAATTTCCAGTATTTCTAACCTTTACCCACCGTGGTTCCTGTCTATTGAGTGTTAACGTATACACTTATTAATATGATTCATCAGTCGGGCCACTATCAACATATGAACTTTCATCTCCTCTCTAATATGGATACTACTAATATCAACCAATGGTCAAGAACTCGAAAGTACTATACTACTAAACTAAAAGCCCCCAAAAAACACTTCTGTGCTAAAAAACTATGCCACGTACAGGAGTGATGTGAATTCCTCTAACACGAAGCATTGAAATGATATTATTAATGCCAAGTACACAAGTCACTACGTATCTGCTTATTATATGATCTAGCACTAGCCCATCATTTGAATTGTATTTCCAAATTTTATATCACTACTGCTTCTCGTTTAATTATGATATAATGGTCATTTAATAATTAATAAAACTTAAGATAATAATTCCTTATCGAGTTATTTCTGACGAATTATTGCTAATACGATCGATATAGAAAGTTGACGTTGGTTTTGAGTTTGAAGTTTGACGTAATGAACGCAAATTTAAAACAAGTAATACATGGACTCGCCAAATATTACTCGGCAAGGAATCACATAAAGTTTAATTAATTATTAAATGACCATTAAATCATAATTAAATACGAGAACCGGTAGTAATATAAAAAAGTAGCGAAGATGTTATAGGAAATTTCGAAAATACAATTGAAATGATGGGCTAATGCTAAATCATATAATAAACAGATAAATAACTACTTGTGTATTTGGTATCAATAATATGATTTCGATAAATTTTGTTAGAGGAATTCACAGCACTCCTGTACTTGGCATAGTTTCTTATGCGTAAGTGTTTTTTGGGGGTTCCACATATCCCAACGGTCTGACAAAAACGTCGAACACGCGAGGATTACGTTATACAAATGAGGTCCGCTGCCCCATGTTGTTTAGGAGTTAATGAGCCTCAAGTAAGTCGATTTGCTTGTTTTCTGAGTGCACCGTAGAGCGACTTGGAATGAGTAATCTAAACAAGGACAATGAGCCGCAGGTGGTAGGATGTTGCACAACGGGAGGTCTCATCTCCTGTAACTCCTCCTTCTCGTTGATCCTCTTCTTCTTCGTCGGTTTCTCTATCATTAGAATACCCCGAACTCATCAACGGTTAACCGTCTTTAGCCGGCAATCGAGACACCCCACGCGTATCACGACCTACGCGGATCGATGTGACAATTAGGTCCGCGTCTTGTGAGATCCTTTAATTGTCGGTACTTCCAAGAAAGATTAGAGATCAGCATGAGTTAATGTATTTACCTACCTGATACACGCTGCCATGCATTAATAAGCATTGTGAACGGGCTTATATATGTAGCATGTATGTTCACATTTCGCTAAGCTATATGTATACTGTTTAGGTATACTATATTCTCGGGGATAATTTTAATGCTTGATAATACTAAGTCACTGTAAACTTGATAGATAGAATTATTGAGTCGCGTGCGTAGGCAGCATAAAGTGCTAATGGACGTTTTTCATCTACGTTGAACTTTGCGATGTTTGTTATACCCAACGAGTATTTCAGTTCAACTGTTTTTCATTTTGCTCTTATTTTTTCTGTAGAAAACTTTCTACACGTGTCGATTTGACATATCTATTTCGTACGAGGCGTTTTGAAAAGAGTTGTTATTCTTTTCAAGTATGCAATATCTATACGTATTGTATGTATAGGTTGTATAAATCCTAGGAAAACAGCAGAGCCGCGTAGCCACGAAATGTACATTAATGCAGTATGCCAATATGTTGTTTTATGATCCATAGTTATTGGATTGGGCAGGATCTTCATTACGTAACATGGCGATCATGCATGCTTACGCGAAAACTATGTCATTGTCCGCACGGTATTAAGCATCCAGTTTGGGTTAATTCCACGTAGCTTCCCTTCGGTATCCAGTCTACATATCCAGCGTATTAGCCTCTAGTATTCAGCAAATCCTAAAATGCCCGAGATATCCCATAATCGCTTTTGCAATTTCAATCTAACGGGTGTGCGTTCCATTAGAGATTCGTATCGTATCTGGTGCAGAATACATGCGCGAATTTACTAAATCGATAAAGTCAACTTATCGAGCAATGCTTGAAAAATATAATAATTTCATTTATACTGCCTAATATATTATTTAATTAGAACTATGTATTATCGAGGTTAAATTCAGATTATTCATTGATAATAACTCATTGAATCCCTGTGATGACGGCTGAAGAGAACGATCGATCACTAACATGTTCGGCTGTTATGCAACGAAAGGTAATAGCGTTATTTAATGAAAATAAGTTAGGTTATGTTTGTCATGGTAATTATTCAAACGTAATTGGTCCAAATAAGAGCAATAGAATTTTGGTACGATACATAATCCCAACGCATATATGCATATATGCACTAGGATTATATATGGTTTTAGAAACTGAACAGTTTATAACAGCAGATGTTCAATGTCTAATAGTACAACGTAGCTCCTTTCATTATTTTTAGGATTTCCGTAAATCGGTTTCAGGCATAACTGGAATGTGGAATGAAAGTTCGATCGAGGAATAAATAGTATATGGAATCTGAAATTACAGCCGTGATATATCTGTCTGGAGGTAAAGTCACATTTGGAAAACTCCGCGGGGTGCTGGATGCTGCGGAATGACTGTCGAGGATGATGAGCCGTATAACGTTATAGCTGGCTATTACCGATCCCATTATACGCTCCTTTTGTTGCTGCACCTCACTAATCTCGATTAATTTACAGATAAAGTACAATTTGTCTGTCATTCCGCCTTTAAATGCGATCATTAATAAAGAGCAGGTGATTAAAGTTCCTTTTGTCTCGTTACTGTCTCGCTCCACGAGAGAGCGAGTTGTCCCTTTGAACGAAGTCATTGTGATCTCCGTCTCGTTACAATCATGAGTGAAGTTGGCGGCCAGTTTATCTCTACCGGAAGGCTCTGAAGTAGACTTCATTTTTTACCATCACCCACAGTAGATAAAACACATATTCCCTTTATGCTATACCACTTTATTCAAATCAAACGCATCGACCCTACGAATCAAATGGACCAGCTAACTCCGGTTTAAGATGAATAACCCCATATTATATTATTGTAAAAGACCAAAGTGAAACAGATGATCGATTAAGCATTTATGCGTTGATTGACATATTCGTATTATGCAATGAATTTCACTTAAATTATGGTTTTTTGATAGTAATTGATATAGCACGCTTATTAATGATACTCAAGTTCATTAATCTATATTGATGCATGCATCTATAAATTGGGCCTAAGTGCAGTGAGTGGTGCACGTAGGAAGATATGTACTGTTGCATTGCAATCTCGAGGCTGGACTAATCGTGGTAGGTGACACGCGGGACTAATTGCACTTTATCTCAGTAAATTAATCGTTGGCCAGCATCTAGCACTGGACCAGTGATTGCAGCATCGGTTGGTAAGCCTCAACAAAGCCGCTAGTCATCCAGCAAGCGCTGTTCCAAAACCACGCAACTACACGATGATTACATGTGTTGTCGGACTTATCGATATCACAGTTTGATCACACTCTTTACACTCTGCTTACAGCTTTTACTTGCAATAAATACATTTTTACGCTTTCGACTGAAACTACTTGTTACAATAATAATAATCAAGGATTTCATCTTACGCGTTAAATATTCAAAAGATCTTATCATCGGACTCCCTTTCGATTTTAAGTTACCTCAGGCACCCGGTAAACATTACTGAAAGGGAAGACAGGCACTATGTCAGTAATTGACTTCTCTCAAGTGAACCTACCGCATGGACTGACGTCACGAGCGTGAAATAATGATTCAGACATGATTGACTAGTCAGTCAGAAACAATAGAGCCAGTGTGAACACAGTCGCGAGTCGACGGTACTCAAAGTGAAAATGTCTAGAATCCCTACGGCTTCCTTAAACGCCATGTTGTTAAGGCTCATCTTCTGCTCAGAATGTAAAACGACCCAAATTCTCAAAGTGAATGTATGGTAGAATCCTTCCAGCATCGTTAATAGGCGATGGATAGGAGCCTATTGTCCGTGTCTTCTGCGTCGGAGTGACAGCTGTCAAGAAAATCTCTGAGAGCAACGTTGCCACGTTATATCCCGACATCACCGACGCATTCTCCGAGCTTCGACGATGATATCTGCTTAATTTGATGCTGCGTAAGGGTTCGATGATCCATCGAGAGCACCAGGAAGGACTGGGTGCCTATCCACAAGAGTCAACAGTCATTGTGATTTGGTTAGAAAACCATATACGAAGCTAAGGGACCTGGTGAATTTATAAATATACCTCACCAGGACAGCTGTATCTAATTTTGTTATTTCATTAGTGAATTTCGAAGTTTCACAAATCATTACATATACATAGGTATTCTTGTACGGTACCGAGATTACCCTGAGGTCAATCTGCTTTGTGAAGATTCGTCTGGTGTGACACGTGGGAGCGTTAACTTTTGAGGAGTGATGACAATCATTGGTCAGGTAATCGATAACTGGGTTGTCAATGTGACAGAAGGCTGGACGATCCTAGGAGGTGTGATCAGAGCGCAATTACCAGAGAAGGTATGGATACGACTATGGTTAGTAGTGACATTTCTAGTATTATGATCGCTATTACTGTATTAGATACAGACAACGTAACACGTGGGTTCCTTCTTCACGAGGTCATCATCCGCCGCCATCCTTCACAATTGGGAACGCTAGGTTGGTTTCGTGCTCGGCGTCATAACTCAAAAACTCAAGGCAACCCAGCACCTAAATCCATCGTTAGAAGGGGAGAATAGAAAAATGTATTAGATTGTGAGTTCCGAGGGATCCATTTCATACCGTAATTTACTGTTTCGCTTATAGGGGAGCGAATTCGAAGTTCGCCGCAATGCTCTCAGTGGAGAACGATTTTGAACTGAAAAATATAAGTGCACAGCAATCATGATATCCAGTGGATTTAAATGTGCCATTCATAATTTCAAGATATTTTTATATGAATATTTTTTTTTCATAATACTTCTAAATTTTATTGATCGTGACCAGAACATAAGATAACGCTTAATGTAGGAGCATTATCCTATAAGAGCATTGATCATGATGCTGGTCTATGTTTTGTACGAGTATCTAATTGGATGGCATGTCGCTATTGTGATTAGAGTTTAAGACGGTGTCGTAGACTGTCACATCATGAGTAATACGTCATAACATGCTTAGCTCTAGAGATATAATAGAGTACGACACAGAGATTCACAGAAGCAGCGTTACTAATCACGGATTAATTTTTCCAGATGAGTAAATTGATCGTCATTCGTAATACGATGTAAAAGATGAGCTCCTTCCAGGCGGCGGTTAAAGATCGAAAGAATGATCTCCCGGACGAGGGATACGAAGCGAGAATTCCTATAGCTAAAATGATTTTTAATTTGTTACATCGAGAAGATTTCTTTTCTTTCCGAATGCGTGTACATTCGACCTACGTTTGTATGTAATTTCGAGGTTCATAAATAACGACTAGGATAAATGACAGAAGCATTAAATAAACCTTGGGCTGTATTCATCCTACGGGGATGATGGGCACATAATTGCTAGGATAAAAATGGATAAATGTAGGTTGCTAAAGCGGCCTAACGGCGGACGATGCCCAAGTATATATCCTCCTGTATCCAAAGAGCATCTAATGCGTCCTCCGCACGAATCAGTCTCGACTCCATGGGCGCCGACGAGGTGCCGTTGCGATAAGACTTGCAATTACCTTTAATAGGGAGCAATTTAAAGGCGAGACTCGTTTCACCCACTCTTTCATGACGTGGGTTCCCAAAGTGAGGAAAAAGTATGCAGCTGCGAATGGGGCCCATTCGCGATTGCAAAGCGGCTTACTCGACCACGTTACCAAATGAACGCAAACGAGGGAAACGGTGACCGAGTGAGTGAATAGATGGTTGAAAGAGTAAGGGATACAGAGATATAGGGAGAAAGAGAGAGAGAGAGAGAGAGAGAGAGAGAGAGAGAGAGAGAGAGAGAGAGAGAGATATGGAATTATCGAGCATTAAAAAATTCGTGACAATCCGCAACAACGTGCGCACTAATACTGGTTCGCCATTTCATCGGCTCACCATTAACGAATAAGAGTAACGCGATCATCTGAGTCAGTCTCACGGAATGGCGCCTCCCTTCTCTGATGGACCAATATAAATTTCTCAATTCTTTCCAGTCGTTCGGAAAGCGTACGATAGAAGGGGACATACATATAAGCCCTCGTCAGTCAGCCGACGAGGCGTGCATGAGTGGAAATCGGTCTTGGTGGAGTAGGGTTGAACCTGGGTAAGCCTGGCTGATTTTAGGGTTAATCACTGTTCGGTATCCTCTTACCTTGTCCCTCTTTCTTTCTCTCGAGCTTCTACTTTCGCATGTCTCTCTCTCTCTCTCACTCTCTCTTTCTTTTGTTTCTCCTTTCTTCTTCGCATGAAAATTCCGTGAATTTTCCCCCAAAGCGCAACGAGACTAGGCCAGTATTTTCCACTAGGTTTAACCGCGCCACTCAAGCACCCCATTCGCATCGAGTGTATCCAAGGATTGAGAATCCCATCCCTTATTACATGCTCTTTATTCAACGATTGATATATGCCCCACGCCGATTCGATCAGAGGCATATGTGAACGGTCTCAATAATTAAACCCTAAGTCATCCTGTGATGGAGTAATCTTGGTAGCTCACTGATCACTTCATTGATACTACAGTCAATCACTGTTCAGTCTTGGTATTACCTAACGTGAGCTCGATTGAACAAAGACAATTAAGATGATAATCGTGCAGGGAAGAGCAGAATCGTATACAACGATATCCCAAGAGCAAAGACCAAGTCAGGTTGCAATGTATAGTACCGGGTAGGATTGAAATTTATTAAACCTCGACGGTTAAAGATTTCGTTTTAACTGTAATTTCCCAACGGCTGGTCCAGAGTTGAGCTCAATATTTCAGTCTGCGGCGGTAAAGTGGCGCTACGTAATCCTGGTAACTCGGTATAATATAACCAAGCAATTCGTCCACGAGGATTAACCCGTGGATTGTATCCTGCTGTAGCTAGAATTAATATTGGGTTGAGTTAAATTAACGCCTTCCTGGATTACAATATCAATTAGGCGAGTGTATCTCAGAATCGAGATAAGTGCTGGGTCTTTGCCCATCAAATTCGCTATTGGTTCTACTCTGGACCTCACAGTCGGGGGTCTTCGGCCCTGATCGGTACGACTACATTACGACTTGCCCTTAAATCTTCTTAGCAATTACGGAAAGTGGAAAGGCCACTAGCCTTCATGGATAGGTTGATACTAGCTGTAACGTACGAGACGGTGCTCTGTAATGCTGGGAAGAGCGGGGGTCTCTTTGCGGATGCTGGGGTGCCAAGTGAGAGTTCAGAAGAGGTTCAGAGGGCTGGAAGGAAGAGACGGTTAGGGTTAAAGTCTGATTAGTAGGGACGGAAAGGGAAGCGACGAGTCCCCAGATAGGTTAGCGACAGCGTTAAATGAGCCGCGTCTTTTCTCCGTCCCTGATAAGATGCTGATTAGATTACCGGCGACCTATATTTAAACCGGCGTAATTACCTGCGTTTATTACTCAATCAGAGCGAGACTCCTTGCTTTGATTTTAAGATAGCTAACAGACGGATCTTTCGCTACGGAGCAATAGTTTATCCTTAAATGGAAAACTGTCCCTTCCTTGTGCGTGACGAAGTCGAACAATTTACTTTAATTTTCGATTCAGTCAAGATTTCATCTATGACTATCAAAGAGGTAAATAAACGACCTTTGAAATTTTTAATTGAAAAGTTTGTCTTGTTAATGGGAAATGCTCTGTTATCGCCACAGGCGTACTGCGAGTTAACCGTATTAAAAGTACATTTACCGGTGTAATTATTTCGTTCAATCTATACAATTATTCCACATGCAATTTCATATTGTCGCAGTCGTTTTTTATTTTAAAAAACAGTTTTCATAAAACTGTGGTACTATCTATCGAATCTATATTTTATTGCGTGATCCATTACGACGATCGAGTCTACACTCGAACATCGTTCGACATTAACGTACAGTAACGCAAATTGCAAGACCTCTCGATGAGATACAGCAAAGTATCCAAAGTCCATGAAGCCATTTTACATATACGGGAAGGAAATATGGAAGACGGTATTAACTAATGGTCGTTAAAGTAGGTTTATTCTAAACCGTGTACCGGATTATGTATGATGAGTTCAAGCATGAGAAAAAGGAACAATGATGCCTGTGCGTGGCTTCGGTCTGACAGATGTCAAGGCGAAATGCACCGAGCGTTTAAGGGGAAACGGGATCCGGTACACGGTACGTTACATTTAAATGATTGATGACTATTCTGAATGAGGATCACAGCTGGGTCACCTATCTATCTGGTCGTAGTCAAAGCCTCGTAAAGTCAAGGGACGGTACCAGGCCGCGTACCAATTCAATCCCGTATATCATCATCCAAAATCATATTTTCAATATCTAACCTCGAAATGATGAAAATCACGAGAATCTAACTTTGTAATTATTTTTTTTTTAATTCGTAATATATCATACGCCATCTCTCATTAATTCTTGTACTATATTTGCCATATAACTTAGAGTAATCGTCATTGTAAATGCCTGTCTTTCTATTAGATGGCTACCGTGATGCTTGATTGATTTGCGTACGAGTAAACATTGCTTTGCTACGTAGCAAAATGATCTATGCTCGTGTATTAATATCGGTGATGCAGAGAAGTGGCCAGCTGCTACCCACGGGTGGTTCCGTCAGTCACATAAATGATGCGACGCTCATTTGCTTTGAGGATGGATTCACAATTCAAACAGAGACAACGCGCCTAATCAATCTCCCATGAAACCGTGCGGGCACCCTATAGAGATCGGCATCGGGTACGAGTATCGAGGATTCATTGTAACCCAGACAATGAGTACCCCTGGAATAATTATTGTCTTGATAAATGCAAAATTGACTTTGTTATATTTACATCTTATTATCTCTGAAAAGAAGCTGCTCGAGGATTAAGGTAGGTTAGATCAGACCGATCGCATCCCGCTGTACTAACCTTGTTTCTCAGGTTCCTCTTCGTGTGACCGTAACCTACGCTTAAGCACGCTGAAGAGAAATTGTCAATATAGGACTGGCAAACTGTCTTCCGGCAATGAGAGTAGCAGGCCATTTCCGTCCGCATTACGAGACTCGGTAGTAATTGTTATTAATACTGGGTCTTATATACTAAGCGTATATCTTCCTGATCTCGTAGCAACGTAACTGCTAACCACAACGCAGTGCCATAGCGCAGCTAAGATCTTGGTCAATATAGCACCTCAATCTTTGAGTGTAGTGTCAATAAATGATAAGGTGGATAAGGATACATTTATGATTGATCATTAACTGTTGCTTGTTCCAATTACTTATGAGATCATACTTTAAAATTTTTCTCAATACTTTATTTATCTTGTCATGCTGATATTAATTTTATCATGTCCAACATTTTATTGGTCTAAGAAATTCATAATTCTTGCTACGTATGGTTTGGATTCGAAATGAGGATTATCTTTTGGATAACAGACAGAGGGTGACCACGGCATCTGTTTTTGGCTGTATAGGCTGGTAATTGGTAGGTATAATTTGCATTTTCAGTCTCACCGAGACAAGAACCCACATTGTTAGTGGGTAAAATGGGATTGGCATTGAATTGAGAAGAGCAAGGAACCGATACCAGCCAGTGCGGTTTCTTTGGCTTGGATCATTTTGTAATTAACTTTTTGCTGCGTGGCTTGCCTTATGTTATTTCTTGTAAGACACGTGGTGGCTCTATATAGGTATATACACGTACGCCAAATAGACTACCATACCAACACGTCGATAACAGCCGACTGACGTTCTCAAATATTCGAGTCTTGTCCTGCTGGTCTATTTTGAACGTTATTAGCAAAAACTGATCGTTCCCAGCACCTTCCGATGATTCAATAAACGAGCTATACGGTTACAGATTATTCAATCGTTAGGATATTCCTGATGGAATGTCAATTCGATTTCAAGCGGTCGGGGTTTAATTACTGCTAGAGCTAAGCGAGTATTTGAGTAATAGAAACGCTTTAGGTCGTACTTCATCAATTAATATTCAATAATTAATCGATAATCAATACAGATTACGGACAATTCACATCAGATCGCATTGCGGTTTGAAAGGATTCGAAATTGTCAAAAGTCAATTATTTTAAACGAATATTACTCAAATTTTGTATGTTGCCTGTGCTTCAGAGATAATATGAAAATATCTTGCTGGTGTAGGAAACTTTTGACTGAACACAGAAGAAGCTGGAAAATTTTGATAATTAGGATTATTTTGGTCATATTTTACGGTCGAGTGATTTTCGTTACGCTCCAATCACACGGAACACTGTGGATCGGAGCAACGTCACGGAACAAGATTGCGTAATGCAGTTTCTGAAACAATCGGCCGGTCACGGCATTTATCACAAATGTGATTATCGTCATCATCATCGCACACTGATCCGAGATAGTTAGACCCTGACGTTTTGCGTACCACGTAATTTTCGAAAGTAAACCAACGATCCGCATTAAAAACCTCAATCATTATTCGAGTGTGTGTTTCGTACTTAAGCTAAACCCAAACATTACGTCAGAAGAGAGCGCAATGATAAATCCCTTTACACGAATTAATGAAACCCTCTTCACGCAGACCACCTATACATTTTGACCCTGACGTTACGAAATCCCACTTTACTTTACGACGTAGCGCTTAATGAACCTAATTTATCTTATATATTCCCCACCTAATCGAATAAATTTCACTTTACTCTAAGCATTTTGTCTCGCACAACGAACACGTACGTCTCGTACAATTTATATAATTTCAAGCAATATTTATTTCCCAAAACACGAAATACGCAAAGACAACGTCAGTAAGATTTTATTAAATTACTTAAATATATTGTTAACCACTACGTTTCTCTGAGCAACATTCATTAACGTCCCTTGCTGTACCATCTTGTTTAGTGGTTTAATAGTTTTTCATTTTAAAAAATTATCTATTATATTGGCGATCATTATACAGATTCCGTAAGATACAAAACAAACAGTCTCGGTTTTTACCCGTCAAAGAGAAATTATAACTTGCGAAGGGGTGGAAAAACAAAAAAAAGTGCTTTACTGAGTTCAGTAAATGAAAAACGATGTTAATACCGCATACTCGTTCAATTGTCATTCAACCAATGCGAAAGTATCTTTGCCTTTGATAAAGTATTCAATCAAACAACGCAGGAAAAAGCTCAAAGTATTATCAATAAAAATAACAACAACAGGGTCTAAGCATAACAGGACAGGATAGGGTTGCGGTTAAATTCACTCAGGCAACCCCTTCCAATGCGCGTAACGTACTTAACGTTCTGTTCTGTATGTTCAACGAGCTGGAAGATCCATATCTCACTTGAGGGGTGGCTCTTAGGCACATATGCAAGTACGTCCATGTAGATATATTGTAAATATATATATGTATGTATACTGTACTTGTACATGTCTAGAGCCATATAAAGTATAGTCATATATACGCAGATAGATATATATACAATTACTATATTATATGCGTACATAAGCCCCAGAAAAGGTTATGTAAGGGTATATAAAGTCACTTGCTGTATGCTGTGCTATTCTCATGCGAGCGACGAAGATTACGCCATTTCTGTATAATGCATACATTTGCCGAAGTCATCGCAATCTCGTTCGGTACGGGTATCCCTCGGGTTATCGGTTAGTAATAAAGATTTTTGCATCTACGTTATAGTTGGAAAGCCTTAGAGTCGTAGAAGAAAATGTCTATTTTCGAAGAGGAAGATCAGGTGCTTGTGCCGCTGCGTTCATTTAACGTTAAAATAAAATCATGGGTAATCGCTTATAGTGGAAACCGTTCTTGTTTGGTATACGTGGTTTATCTAGTGTTATTATTCTTTCATAAAAGACGTGACGCAACGAGCAAACGATTTTTTTTGAAAGACGTTCGCCCTATATGTATATGCATACAATACATATAAAGAAGTATGAACGATAATTTTGATTGCGTTAACGTTTGAAGCTTTGACTGATGTCAAAGTGCACAGATAGATCGTTGCTTGAAAACAATGGAATTCTTGTAAATTCTCCTTTGTCAGTAAGTATGGTAGCCACTACCTACGAGAGGAGATCTCTATTTCGTACAGTGTGAAAAGTGTTATTTACTATTGGAAGTAGATTGTTATGTATTGTTGCATTTGACGACAATGGTTACGGGTAAAATGATTCGTAATGGCTTAACTATAACGAACCATGCTGATCAATGATTACCAACTTAATAATCGATTCTGTTCATTTTATAAGATGTGAATATTGTCTGTCTATCTATAAATTTGATATAGTATGAAAGTTAGTTTATTCTGAAAATACCATGGTTTACCGTACTCTGAATGTTCTGTCTCTTGCGTGTATATGACACTACGTTAATTGACTGAATGTCTACTTCACTCTGTGTCGTGTGAGATACACGCGCGTACCGGATGCTGGGGTTGTCGCCCAATTTCCCACGTGCGTCCAGTAAATGTCCCGAGACTTTATTACGTCGAAATCAAATTAAAAGTCATAATAGTGACAAAATGACTGCAGCGGTTTCCACGTGGCTGACTGCCATCCTGTTTGTAACCAGGACAGGGTGGTAACCCGTAGGGGAATAGGATGGTCTGGAAGTGGGTTGAAACATGACAAAGTATTTACATTGACCTGGCTTATGCGGCATGAAATGCTCGGTAGACCCTGCTGGGTGACGATCTCTCCTTCGGGTTACCTCGGCAAGACGGCCGAAGCCACGAAACAACCGCAGGGTGCACTTCCACAAAGGAATCGCTTCTAAAACGCATTCCACCTGAACTTTACATAACGAATGTATTATCTTGGCTAGAGAGACAGACCATAACCAAGATTCGTTGCTTCGTTCGATAGCCACGGCTAATAAAATATTGGCGTGGATATATATTTTTAATTGACCCTATGATTTTGACGGTTCGCACCACTTAATGGTAATGGTAACGCACTGACAGCGAAAGGGTACGAGGGTCAGGGTGGGAATTATTTGATTGTGGCATCTTGGAGACACGTGTTCTACGGTCTGATGACTTGGGACCGGTTGGCAAGCGTGGACCACATGTGTTCCGGACGCAACGCGTGCCCTAGGCTCGCTAAATTTTTAAACGTCATCGGTCCTAGCCAGCGCCGGGTTAATTGATGCTCTTCATTTTTTCGAGCTTTTGTCTAGCCGTGAGATTTATGAGCAGCGCAGTACGAGAGAACGGATAGCGGCGTCTTTGAAGACAATACTCAGCAGGGGACCTACTGGCAACGGCGAAACCACTGGCACCAGCCGCCACCATCACCGTTTTCTTCTTCTTCTTCTTCTTCTTCTTCCTCCTCTACATCCTCTTATATCCCATTCTCTATCGTTCCTCCGTGTTCTCAAGACGCCCCTGGGCCTTCCTCGAGGTCTATTCATGTTAGCCGGTCGATCTAATGGGAAGGATGGCAACTCGCCACAACCTGGCAAAGTTACAGGGCAACGAGATAGAGCAGCGATTCAACGAACTTCGACACGAATTCACCGATTTATCAAGAATTTATGGAGATTCATCGACACCATCGAATCGACTTACTCATATACGTACATCTGGATGACTTATCACTTTCATATCTAGGCATAAATTATTTGGCCAAAGTACAATTCTATATCGTTCTATACTGAGATTTGGAAGAGTCATGAGAACCTGACCTTAGTATAACGGTTAATGTATAATGACGTAAACGTTACGTGATACAGGGTTCCAGACGGTAGAAGCACGTTCCATCGTATCTTTGGTTGTATCGAATTTATCTGGTATCTAATCTTTCCATAATTACGGTAGACACGTCGTGAGGAATCGAAATATGTAACAAAACACGTGTTTAAGATAATTCAGGAATGGCTGGAAGGCAGTCGACGCCGTCGTTGAGGATAGTAAGAATGCGGCGTTTGGGTTCGAATTTATGTCAGTGGAGTAAAAGCTTCGCTTCTACGCTTCCGATAGGAACACTGGGTATAATAAGTATAGCTATCCCATTCCTGGATACCCATACTCTTTCCCGTGATAAAACCCATTAGCTTCGACTTATTTATAGGATCGACCGTTTATTTCGGCGCCCACTAATTTTTCAATCCGGTATTTAAAAAGTTAATGGTAATTTATCGAGGCCTCAGCGAGATTCCCGTTTGCGCGTGCGCCTTACATACCGGATACTTTAACGGCACTTTCACACTTTACGGCACCCTTCCGTTGCTTTCCTGTCTACCTAGGAAACGTCAGGCATTTATCTCGCACTGAGAATCCGCCTGCTGTCTCATCCGTTATGATATCCCTTTTAATTCCACTGTCTCAAATCAAGACACGCATCTCCCAGCGGGACGTCGAGTGAGTTTACGTGCTATTTCCAATTCCTACAACGCATTCTCAATTCGCCAACCGTTTACAAAGCATTTCTTATTTTAGATATCAACACGTATTCTCGATTCCTCAGTGTAAGATCAGTGCCAAATAGAAAGTCTATTAGATAATTATTCTCAAAACTCGATCGAAGGCTAATTGCCATTTGCGCCATGATGATTTTACATAACCCAAGAGAATGCGTGTATAATCATTGCAAGGACAGTGCCATTTTGTCTTCGACACTTTCTTCCAACGAAAATTTGACATTGATATGGTCTATCGGGCGTTAAGAAAGATCGATTCAAATATTCATTGTCTTGCCCAGTTATGTCAGACCTGGTCATTGCTTCATTTAGTTGGTATATAAGAATGCGAATTTTTCCCTACGAATCAGTTCAGTATCCGCAAGTACATCGAACGAACGAATTTCACAGCAAGATAACCAATGGCATTCAGGTTCATCCTTGTTCTTGGCTTTGTAGCCGTTTTTGCTGATAGCGTCGTAACACACCATGCACACTCTTATCAACATCATCATGGACCTGTAGAAGGACCTGCCCACGAGGTTCAATTCGTTGACAAACATGGTCATCATCACGTGGACTATGTGGCTCATCCTAAGTACGGATTCGCTTATGGCGTCGAGGATCATCATACCGGTGACTTCAAATCACAAAAGGAGCATCGTGATGGCAAGAACGTCGCTGGAGAGTACAGCTTGAAGGAACCTGGTGGCAACGTGCGCACTGTCAAGTATCATGCGGATAAGGATGGTTTTCACGCAATTGTCCATAATTCTGCTGGCAATGATCATTCTGTCCCACATACCCATTCTCATTATTGAGACTCCGATCGAACGTAAATTTTGTATTTTTTACCAAACATTTGTTTACTTCTGAACGTTATTATATTAATAAATGATTGATTTTTTTATATTTCTGATGGTTTTTATGGTTCATATTCAATGTGCCATTCGACATTACTTTTGTATATAAGATTCAAAGCGAAACGCTGTGTTAAGGATTCTTTTCAATTTAGTCTCTCAGTAGACGTTAGGGAACTGATGAAATTTCTAGGAATTCTATAGTCATTCGAATGTTACTTGGAGATGATGAATTTCTCAAGAATATTATTCATTGTTCATCTATTCGTGAATCACGCGACCTTGTTTTTGTATATAATATTAATGGCTAACGGCTCGAAATATATTTGGATTCGTTTCGCTAATAAAATATTAATATACATCGTTGATATATAAATCGATCTGAAATAGTTTTGGCAAAATTACGTACTAACAGGATGTCATATTGAATACGTGACAAAAAATTGAGAGAGACAGAAAAAGAGAATTGAGGAAATATGCAATACAACGAAGAGGCTGATTTAAATAATGGTCAAGAGTTCCAAGAATTGGACGGGCATTCATGCCGTGTTGCTGTCTACAAATATTATTACATTCCATTACATATTTCGTGTTTGACGGTCAGCCACTCACCGAATTCCAAAAAGCCACAACTCTGCAAGGTCCCACTCGAAGCGAACAGGATCGCACAATAAATTTCGAGTAGAAACCAGACCGTTACCACAGATCAGTCAAGACACTTAAGGCAGACACAAAGATTCAGGACCACCATGTGTGCCAGAAACTCAAAATAATTTTTAGTCCTCTTAAAGTGAAACTGAACAGAGAAAATGTCAACGAGAATTAAGCAATTAATTATCTTCATTTTAATAAAACTGCAGTCCTTGTATCGTTTTAAAGGATAACAAGAAAATGCAGAAATTTAATAGAAGCAGATAAGGAGACACTTGGTATCCACAAAAAAATTCTTTCCAAACGTCCATATGTATATCTAAAAGCATTCGAAGATTCCTTACACATATTTGCTTTCTCGAAATGCCTTTATTCCTAAGCGTTTTGCTCCTCGACTGACCGGAGTCTCGTCGAGGGGCGGAATGACTGCGTGACGCCGCAGGATAGAAAGAGAAAGGGAATGGCGAATCGATCTCAAGGGACATTAAGGTAGTTGAATTATATCTTTTCAGATGGTGTTTCCGCAGCGAGAAGCAAAGAAGTGAGTCTGCGAAGACTCTTCTATTAACCGCAGACTCGTGCCCGTTCCCTCGTGTGCCCATCTATTTCAGATTTGTCCAATTGAATTCACCGCCACGGCTTGTCTTCCCTCATCTCTTCTTTTGTCTCAAATCTTTTTTTTTTTTTTCCTTCGCGTTATTTCTTCTCGTCTCTTCTATACTTTTCTCTCTTCATTTTAATCCCATGGAAACACGCTAACCTTTGTACTTAGTATGATTTACCTGCTTGGTTGACTCCTCAGAAGAATTTTCTCTGCTCATTAATTGAAGTGACAGTTTACGGAAAATACCGGAGGAATATATTTTTTTGGGTTGATCTAGTTTTTATGTTTACGCCATTACCGAGAAATTGCTTTCGGAGTGATGAGATATTGCTTCAATATATATTTTATGCAGTTGGTATGAATTTAGATAAATTTGTAAATAATTACATATACATATTTACATTTACATGAACTGGCATATAATTCCAGAATTTATTTAAAATTTATAAATATTGGATGATAAAAATTGTATTATGTGGATTATTTGCACAATAGTTTGTCTAGATTGAATGGTTTCCTAAGGTGATTGATTAAACCAAATATTGGTATTTATTTATTTGTCATACAGTAAATAATAACTTTCCTAGCTATCCCCGTGACAAATGCCGAATACGTAAGAATATATAGTGCGCGTTGACGTGGAGAATGTGAAATCAATTTTTTGACATAAGAATTCGCCTTTACGAGCGAAGGTTTTTCTTGCTTGTCAACCGAAATCAAACACGCCTATATGCCTTGCGAAAACACATGCGTCTTATTGACTTTACAACAGAGTAAAAAAAGGACTCACCAAATCTATTGGCGAGCAAGAGCGTGAAAATCCTTTTCACCTGTCGCCTAGGCGCCTTAGGTACGTAACAGTTATTACCTAACCCGCTACTGTATAAATGCTGCGAATTCGGCGATATTTATTCATAACGCATTTGACACCACAAGTGCTACGGTAACTAAATCAGAAATTTTCTAAAAGGGCCATTCGCCACTGGTTCCTTGTCACGTTAAAAAATATAGCACTGATAAGAAGTACACAAAATTTCATATTTGACTACACTAACCAATAATATATTGTCTAATAAATATTCAGTGCAATATTTTTTCTTCTCTGAAAAAACGTTATAAACGTGTAAATCAGGTGGTCTCTGGTAAAGCTACTTTATCTGAACGAGTGTAATCTACATTTGTTTTCATATATTAATTTTTTTCAGAGACAATCATGGCATTCAAGCTTGTTGCTGTTTTATTTCTCATTGGCGCTATCGCCCGAAGTGGAATGAGCCACAAGGCCTATTCTTATCAGCATCATCACGGACCAGTTGTCGGACCTGCTCACGAGGTACAGTTCGTGGACAAGCATGGTCACCATCACGTGGACTATGTAGCCCATCCTCATTACGAGTTCGCTTATGGCGTCGAGGATCATCATACGGGCGACTTTCACGGTCAAAAGGAACACCGTGACGGAAAGAATGTCGCAGGCGAATACAGCCTGAAGGAGCCTGGTGGCAACGTGCGTACCGTCAAGTACCATGCGGACAAGGATGGTTTCCATGCGGTGGTTCACAACTCCGGCGGTAACGACCATTCCGGACCTTATGGCTATGGCCACCACTGATCGTAACACGTTTCCTTGACTAGTCAAGGAATTGTACGCAACCAAATAATTGTTTTGTTTGTAAATTATAATCGTTAATAAATCATCAGTTTTATTTGTGCAAAAACGAGTTAAGTTTAAGATTACGTACGGGGTGAAAAATATGATGGGATGATCGTTGGATGAACATCTCTTTGAGATCGTAATTGCGACTGTGTTATCCGCTGAGGTCGAGAAGATTGGCAGTCTTTAGTCATTCTTCGTAGCTGTTGAGCATGCTCGAATGAAGTCGTCCGAAGGAGGGTAGCTACGTAATTTATGATAATCCCAACAACGCGTTTGCTCATTTGAATAATTAATGCAAAATACACACTAAATAACCTCGTGGAAGCTCGTTCTATGCATCCGCACGTTATGCGCTCTATGGAATTAACAATATAACCTCGATTGCGCGAAATTGGCTTACTCGGAGAGTTTTTCAAGATTTCGGACAGGATCTGAATAAAAAATTTATCCTAAAATGAGAAAACCTGACTGCTCTCAATTGTAATTCGTTAATAATTTTTCTTAACAAAGGTAGCAAGAAGATCCTGATCAACTTCTTAGACTGTCTTTCGCTTCGACTGAAGTATTCAAAATAATTATTTGATCGTTTATAGCATTTATAAAAAAATATATAAATAAATTGATATCTGTATGCAGCTAAAATCAATGGATCTCAGGAAATCCGTTTGTTACGTTTATGTAATTTTTACATAACTTTTGAGTAACAGAAATTGTTCAGTGAGATACATAGCTAATACAAGACGTGTTTACTCGGACGTTAACTATTTAACCATCTTCACCCTTATTAAAAAAAAAAAAAGTATAATTCACATGGAACAGTCAGCTAAGCAAATGTATCTAGAATGCGGATACTAAATGTCAAATTTTAATCTCAAGCGTATCGGTTGGTTCAAAAAGGGCCCCAGCTGGAGGCCCGATCAAGTCCCAACGTTCCAAGTCACGATATGTGAGGTTAACAGACGGGAACCGTCCCTCGCATGTTGCTGTCCCTTGATCCTTTATTCCCTTCTCAAAATGACACCGTAAAAAAAAGGTAAACACGTGTTTTCGAGTGTCATGTCTAACTCGCGACGAGTCAACGCAACGAGTTAGTTATTATACTGAAGGATTTTCTTGTCAGAATGCACAGACGATGATAGCCCTGGTAGGTTCAGTCCCTCTTAGCTCAATGTGAGTTGCTCCTATCGAAAAAAAAAAATTATTTAAATTTTATCGTAACGCAATAACCCATAGAGATATACATATAAACAGCATACGTTTATGGCCTATATGTATATCAATATGAGTTGAAAAAAAATATTCCAAAAAAATCCTCAATCTTGATCCTAATAATATTATGTTGATAACCAAGCTTATATTATCAAGTTAGCTCTGATAAATGCTCTGTATCTATTGTATCGAAATAACGATGCTCGACCTTTATCATACATGTGATTTTCAATGACACGTATTTGCTACTACGTGTAAAGTGGTCCCTGTGTAAATCCACAAACAGAGGTTTCCATTGCAGATTGTTAATACGGAATGTATCTATATTGCCTAACCGAGGTCAGTACGCTCTTGAATTGAATTGTACCTGGAGCAGTGTAATCTGGCACAAACTTTAGTATCCAATGAGCACGAGCTACTATACAAATATTTAAAAAAAAAGTACATACAGGAATTTGCTTCCAGACAGGGTAATGGCTGTATGTAGAAGGTATACTCAAATCATAATACATAACACGCACATGCATTTATCGCAGATTGCTATAGTCGATTTAACTACGTTGCACGGTAACACTTGTATCGATATAGTCATTATTCACATTTTACACAAAGCATAGGAAAATATAAGTTTTCAAACGAATATTTCTTTTTCGTCATTAAGCCATAATAAATTAAGTACCTGTTATACGACACCAGAATTATATTTAAAGTTGGTCATACATAATTTATCACATATGATATATTGAATTCGGTACTATACGTTATACAAGTTACAAGTTGATATACATTATCATTGTAAGATTCATAAAAAGCGTTTACATCTTTGTTAGTTTACTCTTTAACGCAATATATCAACAAGCTGTTATTACACTTATAAGTGTACGTACAAGAGTATCAAACTTCGTCTGAAGTTTATGGTATAACATTTCTCATACGATGGTAAGATGAGCTCTCGTACTCACAATGATATCTAGAGAATGCACATTAAGTAACGCTTATATGTATAGCTCAGGTCGATCCAGACCCGAGTGAAGTGAGAACCACTCAATTCGCAATATCTCATCTCCAATGGAATTAACTCGTCTAAGAATATGAAATTGGAAAGCATACCTCTTGGTACTTTCAAGTACAGGTTGATCCATCTACGATAAATTATACAGAATAACTGCCGGTCTATTATGAAGTGTTCGTGGCGATAGGAACGTCATAGTAATTTGAAAGAGTATAGGCGATCGTTATTCATCGAATGAAATTAGGGAAGGAAGGCGCGTAGGTGTTCCCATTTTTATATTTGACAGAACATTGCGGACGACAATAAACAATAGGGATGGGTTTACTAGCCACTTTTATTGTTTGGCTCGTGACTGTCTGTTATTTTTTCCTTAGCACATGACGACAGCTGGTCAAGTTAATCCATCAGAAAAAGTTGATCCTGCTTTACGACCAGCTGGAAGCAGATACGTGATAAAGATTCTGAGCAACTGACGTTACCGGTCGCAATTAACGTTGTTACCTCGTGCTGCTTGCAACGATTGGATTGCCTATTTCATCTTCAGGTTCCTGGACCAGTTCGATTGGTCTCATTATTATTTCTTTTGACGGTGTACTGAGTTTCTTTTTTAATTTTTCTTTTACATCTTTATCTTCCTCTTTCATGAAATATTCTAGTATTACACTTTTGTAAAGGAAACGCTCCAAGCAATTATCGCAGCTACGTTTCTATTGGAGAACTAAAGTGAGAGAAATTATTTTCAATCTCGTGGAAAAGTGGCGACACGGAGTTAGTTTTTAAGGTATTGAATTTCTATTAGGAGTAATATAACGTTTCGTTCTATGATCTTTTGTCCGTTACTCGATCTCTTATATCAATTTATATTTTAATGTAATATATACAGAAGAACAACGGAGTCAGTGAGACTCTTCGCTTAGAGATTTTACATAATGAATTTTGTATGCAGGTGTTACTAACTTTAACACTGTCTCATTAATAACAATGCATGTACGAATGCGTATCAAGAGAGTGCAGCAATTACCACGCCTGTAGGTAACAGTTAATGACAGTCTAATTAGATACATAAATTACTTTACAATTTCATTTAATTTAACAATTTATATTTATAATCCTGCTACGACCGTCACTATCATTAAAAAAAAGACAGCTACAGGTATTTGTGTATTTACCATATAGATTATTAGTTTGACATGTTATTTTGATTAAACGTAAAATAAAAATATAGAAATATGGAAAACCATCTACAGATATAGGATACGTATATACAGTGCATTTACGGATAATACTGAGCTACGTTTAGCTCAGTTGCCGTGAGGTTAGTAGAGCCACGAAGCTAATTCGAGTCGTTCCATTATGCCAGTCACGGCTTACCCTTTGAGTCCAGGTCTTTACCCGTCAATTGCATACCAGTTCAAGTCGTGGCGCTCAGGCAGAAGGAGTCTCTGAAAGGACAATTGAAATGGCGTAACTTTAAACTCAAACAAATGACCCGGTAAGAAGTAACGAGAATCAACTGACGTTCTATGTGTAATATACTGTACGAGACTGACGTGTGACGCTTAATGGCTTAAAATGACTTGAAGTCTATGTAGCATTCATCTTCATTGAGAATGAGTTTTTAGGGCTTGACTCAGCCTCGAGGGTTGACTAGTTGGATAGCCTAAAGGTCAGTGAGTGTCCCAGCTTTTCGAATTCTGAATTCAATTTTCAATATAACAATGCATTACAGGCATAACGGTAATGAGGATTCTCTTCGATAAGAATCCGATACAGTGATAGTGTGTTAAATTGTCATACTTCAAATGGATTGGACTAGTATATGTATCTTGAATGGGCTGTATAACTGTACCGAGACTGGTGAGTTAAGTATGAATACGAATGGACTTGGCTTCTATTCCTAAGGCATTTTATAAGTGTACATACATGTACGTGAATTCGTCCTTTGGCAAGTCAGTTACCGATTCGGAGTGTTCGAATAAAGTAGTTCATATATCAGATGATCGATGGGAATACGGGACCTTTTCTATCTGGCTATCGATTCCTCGTAACCATCCGGTCCTTTTCTTTGTAATAATATTAATCAATCTTCCTCCTGTCGGTTTATCAAAAACTTATAATCTTATATGACGGATGTACAGTACTTGTCAATTATTTGTTTGGTCACAAATTTACTTAATTATTTCTTAAATATTAAATTGCCGTTTAAATTTTCCCGCTCAATCCTCAATACGTTTCCTGCTTATTTTTTTTTTTTTTTTTAAAATAATACAATCAGAGTTCAATCCGGTCCTTTTCTTTGTAATAATATTAATCAATCTTCCTCCTGTCGGTTTATCAAAAACTTATAATCTTATATGACGGATGTACAGTACTTGTCAATTATTTGTTTGGTCACAAATTTACTTAATTATTTCTTAAATATTAAATTGCCGTTTAAATTTTCCCGCTCAATCCTCAATACGTTTCCTGCTTATTTTTTTTTTTTTTTTGAAAATAATACAATCAGAGTTCACTATACGTGATCGATAATGACATCCTTTCCATTTAGCCGTGACAACCTGTTCTTGATTCTTGGGGATTTAAAATCTAGAAATAGGTACTCTCGATCAATCTTGTCCTACCGGTTTATCAGGAATTTTATAATGATGCACGTACGTCGCAATCACGAAGATATTCTGTAATTCGTCCATAAGCACAGACTGTAAATATATTTATATACATGGGTGCACGCTGTTATTTATGTCATTACGAAATGAATCGTTGGATATGGTGCATTGTTAATGGAGCCTTTCCCCTCTAAACGTGGTCTCTATTAGTTGGCTCGGAGAATACACAAGGCT